TGTGTGGGAGTGTGCACACGCACACACGCATGCAAACACACACACATGTATATATATATATAATTTAGAATGAGAGTATATGAGGCTGTGTGTGTGCACTTGAGTGTGCACACCATGGCATATGTGTAAAAGTCAGAGGATAACTGAAGGAGTTAGTTCTCTCCTTCTACCATGTGGGTTCCAGGAATCAAAATTAGGTTCCCAGGCTTGGTGGCAAAGCACCCTTATAAACTGAGCCACTGGTCCTGCTTGGTTTTTTGAAACAGGTTTATGTAGCCAATCCTGACCTTGAACTCCTGATCCTCTACCTCCCGATGCTGGGTTATAGGAGTGCACTACCAGACTCCGTCCCTGCAAGGTTAAACTTAAAAACCACACGAGGTCAGTTGCTGCAACAGTGGGTCTTGCCAAGCTGCAACTGGCCCCATTTCAGAATCTGCACACTGACCTCCGTGCAGAGTCACAGCCAGCTGCCTTCACTGCTCGGACCACCAGTCCCTCTCCACCACAAGTGGCTCCAACTCTTGCTTCTCCCCACCATTCGCACTCAACCCCTGAGGGCATCTACAGGCCTGATCTCAAGGCTCAATGAAGCCCCACACCGCTGGAGAATAAAAGGCAATGGCCATCTGGTGGTAACCCGTGTCCTGGGGCCTCCCACCTGAGTCCTAGGCTTGTACAACCCAGAACTGACCCAGTCCTCCGTGCAGTTTCCGGTTACCCCCAGCAGGGCCCAAAGCCTGCCCACTCACCATCTTGCCTGCCTCAGTAAGCAGGCCCCAGTGTGAGTTGTTCTGAACACACTATGTTCAGAGCAGACCTGGGATCTAACCATGGACCTGATCTGAGCACACAGCCGGTGACCCAGAACCCAAGGTCAGCAGTATCTCCACCTGCAAGGTTTCCCCCTCGCCAACTCCACCTCCCATGTCCTGGGGACTGTCTACGCAGTGAGGCACAGGACCAATGCTGGGGGCTGTGGTTGCAGGACTTTACTATGCCTTTAGCCCACTTTCTACAAGACCACCAGAGGGCGCCTGATCACGCGGCTCATAGGTCCTGTTCCCTTGTGCAAAATCCTCAATTACTTTTTGTTTTGTTTTGTTTTGGGGGTGGGGAGTGTGCGCAGCACCCACCTAAGGCACCTCCACCTCCTAGCACCTGACCAGGAAATTTGCCTCACCAATAGGGGTATACTCATATTCTATTTTGCACCTCTGTGTATTTAAATTTTTACAAAGCAGGGCCAGGAATGCTGGTATATGCCTTTAATGACAGCACTTAGGCTGAGGCTGAGGCTGAGGCTGAGGCTGAGGCTGAGGCAGAGGCAGAGGCAGAGGCAGAGGCAGAGGCAGAGGCAGAGGCAGAGGCAGAGGCAGAGGCAAGCAGGCAGGCAGATTTCTGAGCTCAAAGCCAGCCAGGGCTATACTGTGTGACCCCATCTCAAAGGAAGAGAGGGAGGGAAGGACAGTAAATTTTATATAGCAAAATATTTTGAGCAGAAACAAGCAAAACTCTACTTCTAGAAGCACATGCACCCCAATGACAGAACATGGTGGCAGGTGAGGAGGCCTGGGACTGAGAATGTACTTGTGGCCTCTGTAAGCTCGAACTTTCCCAGGTCCTCCCTGGGCCTGGCTTTTTTGTCTGCACAAATGGGGCTTGCAGCAGCAGGGAGGGCTGCATCCGGACAGTGTACCCTAGGCCCTGCAGGGGACTGCTGTTCAAGGCAGGGCAGCCAGAGGCTGGAGTGTGGAGTCAACAATCTATGGGGTCCCAACCTCACACATCTCAATAAATTTCTTCCCCTCACCAGCTGGTGGGAAGGAACCCTAACCCAGGGACATCCTTCATGGTGAGCATCTAGTTGACCTGCAGTCTTAACTACTTCAAGTGTCCTCTGCTGTCGCTATAACTTATGGCTGTGCCTGAAGCACTCAGTTCAGTCTAATCTATGGAAGAGCTACAGGAAAAAGGTCAGCCTCCATGCCAAGATGTGACAATAACAGGTTAGACTGAGGTGGTGAGGATACAGCCCTCGTGGAGATCAAAATCCTTACAGGAGACCACAGAGCTCTTGCTCACCCCTCCCACACGTGAGGACAAGGCTGAGAGCATCAGGTGTGAATGAAGAAGCAACCCCATGAGACCCCAGATCCTGAACACCTTGAGCTCAGACTCAGGGACATCAGGCTCTAAGTCAACAAGCTGCTCAATAACTAACCTCCTCCAGGCATACTGGCACACACCTCTAATGCCAGCGCAGAGGAAGCAGAAATGGTGGGTCTCTGTGAGTTCAACAACATCCTGGTCTACACAGATTCTGACCAGCCACAGTCTACATAGTAAGACGGTGTCTCATTTAAGAGAAAGAGGAAAAAAAGGAAGGAAGAGACCTAAGTCCTTTCTCCCAGCAGATCCCACAAACTGACATTTTACATTCATTTTATTTACTGGCTCCCCATCTGAAATGCCAACTCCATGAGGGTATGGCTACGTTTGTCCTGGTCTGTCCTCAGAACTCAGAAGACAGCCGGGGTGGAAGCCCGTGTCAGTCACCATGTATTCCTCAGACAGAGCAAACACACATGGCAAGGCTGGACGGCACCCTTACCTGCAGCCTGGCCAGGAGCTGATGGTAGTGGAACAGAGTACAGAAGTCCACGTGGCCTGCGAATGCCTCCAAAGCTGCGCTCTCTGCCGGGCTGGAGTGAAACTCCTGACACCCACAAAGAAAACCCGGTTAGGCCTCTTTCCTTTTCCCAGCGACAAACATGCAGGATGGGAAGTCTGGGCTTTTAAATGTCTTGCTTAAAAGATGGATTTGGCCGATTGTACAGAGCCAACATCCACAGCACAGGGAAAGCAGGAGGCCTCCAGATCCAGAGGCTGGGCGCATTCGAAGAATGGGTAGCGTGTGGCAGGTGCTCTGCTGTGGCAGAATGTGATCCCCCAGAGAAGGGCAGGGCTGTGGGGTTAGGGCCTAGTTTTTCAAAGGGGAACTAAGGCTCAGTGGAGCCATGTGATGAGGGTCACGGTAGGCCCAACCGGCTGCAGAGCAGCACATGAAGACAACCGTTATCCAGACAAATGTCCAAACCTGAGATTCAGTTTCCTCATGAGCAGATGGCTATGCAGAGTTCGTTCATTCATTCATTCATTCATTCATTCACTCGTGTGTGTGTGTGTGTGTGTGTGTATGTGTGTGTGTGTGTGTCATTGGACTGTATGTATGTATATGTACCAGGTATGAGCCTAGTGTCAGCAGCAGTCAGAAGAGGGCACTGGGTCCCCTGGACTAGAGCTATGGGTGGTTATGAACTACCACGTGGGTGCTAGACACAAACCTGGGTCTTCTGCAAGAGTAACAAATTCTCTTAACTGCTAAGCCACAGTCCCAGCCCAACTAGGGGAGATTTTAGTGAGACCGTATGTGTTCATGTGTACACATATACAAAGTCTAGCACAGGACTTAGTACACACAGCAGGCGTCAATAAATAACTGCTATATTAATGACCATCTTCAGCAGTGGTGGGGCTGACGGTGATGGCGGGCTGAGGACTCAAACTCTGGAATAGGCGCTCACCTGTAAAGTGGAATAGTGGTGGTCTCTGGGTTGTTATGATGGGTCCATACATGACAAACATGTGGCGCCGCGCCACAGAGTTAAGAATTCAAAGTGTGATGATAATAGTTATGACTGCAGCTTTGTAGGTACAATTTTATTTCGTGGTAGGAAGTAAATGATAAGGGTGATGGTTATATCTATTTCAAGGGGAAAACTCATGCCCCAGAGTGCCTGTTCAAGGCGCGGAAGAAGCCGGGGCTGGCATCTCATCTGATGAGATCCATCAGGCATCTCATCTTGGAGCTCTCGCCTCTGCCATACCAACTCTTGCGACCACTAGGAGCGGTACAAGGACCAGGAACTACAACTCCCAGGGGGCACTAGAGCAGTTCTCAACAGCAGGTACAGAGGTGCAGTCGCACGGTCGGCTGGAAATTGTAGTCCCCGGGCTCCTAGACCGCTGATGGGCAGTACCTGTGTCAGGAGGCGGAGCAGCTGCTCCTTGGAGAACGGAATGAAGCGCTCGCGGTACTGCTGAGCCCAGTCGCGGGGTTCCGTGGGGTTCCACATCTTTCGGTATACCCCCATCCTGCTCGCCAGGGACGACAGAGCCCGGGGAGTCCCGAAGAGAGCAGGCACCAGGGACCACACTCGGACCTTGGACCCCCAGGTCACATGCAACATGGCCAGCCCCCTTTCCCAGAGCCTAAACATAAGCAAATGAGGAGGTGTCAAAGGTCAGCTGGAGGTAGAACCGCCGCACACCCCGCCCTTCAGGGGCATAGTCCTTATTCAGGCTAGCTAATCTTTGTCTGATTGATCGCTGCTACACTGCAGGGCTAGGTGGGTTCCAGACTAGGGTCGGAGGTCGTAGTTTGGAGCATTCTGCAGGCCGGGGGACCCTGTAGGGGCACAGGTGGTCTCCTCGGAGCTTGGACGGCGAGGTGGATCTCAGGAGTGTTGGGAAACCAGGAAAAGTTAATTGCGGGTACCGGGCCGTCCTCCCCGGGCCATGCAATCCCCCACACTTCCCTCACCTTAGCCGACGCGCGACTGTCATTGAGCCTTCTGCGCATGTGCAGGAAGAGGTCTTGGGGCCCAAAGGATAGGCTTCAGCAAGCAGTAAAACGCATGCGCAGAGCCTGCGTCTTTGAAACCTTTTTTTTCCAAGAGCCTTTCTCTCGACTGCGCATGCTTCACCACTAATCTGGGTTTAGGTAATACGCACGCGCCAAAGTAGCGTCACCCGGTTCGCTGTTTCAAAGAGAAGAGACGGGGCCCGGGCGACAAGTCCGGAGGCTAGGGCGGGGCCGGGCCTTCGAGCGCGCGCCCGGCCAACGGCGGCCCGCCCAACGTCTGTCGGGACCACGCCCCTTTTCTACTCAGCTTGGATAGGCGGGAGAGAAAGGGGCGGGACTTAAATGCAGCCAATCACCTGTAGAGAACAGAAAAGGCGGGAAAAGAGGACCCAAAAGGAGCCTAGAGGTGGCGCCCGGGAGCAGGAGAAGAGGGCAGGCGGGTGGAAGATTCTACCTCCCTGAGGCGACTGCTGGTCCTCGGCCCGTGGATAATAGGTGGTCCTCTTGAGGCTGCGTCCCCCTGGGGTCTCAGCACTTCCGCCCCCACGCCCCTGGAGGGAAGGCCTCTGTTCTAAGAAGGTTGCCATGCCTCTAATCTTGAGCTGGTTTCCAAGACTTCGCGGACTAGACCCCAGAATGAGACAGTGTGTCTTCCTGAGACAGAGCTGACGCCTAAGCAAGGCTCATGTTATGGAAAATGACCCAAGTCAGGGAACACCTCAACTGTGTCTGGGCTCACTATGGTCTTCCATGACAAGGGAGCCACCCTCCCTGGGTCTATAGCTCCCCTAACCAGTGTTCCATGCCCTGGGGTCCCTAACCACTCTGAGGACCCAGAAGGCCTGTCATTCCTCATCAACCTCATCCTGTATTCCCCACGCCCAGGGCGCTCAGGACCCTCTGGCCCCTTAGCAGCTCCTGAGCGTTCCAATAGCCCTTCACCCTACACTTCCCAACTTCTAGGACCTCAAGCGGCCTTTCAGCTCTGTTCCCGTCCCCAGAACCTCCCCATACTCCATCACCCCTTACCCCCAGCACCTGGAACCACCCAGCAGTTTCTCACCCATGTTCCTGACTACTGAACACTGAAGCAGCCCCTTCGCCGCATTCCCCTTTGTTCCTAAGGCTCCATCCATCCCCACCTTGGGACTCCTCAGTAGTGCCCTTACCCTGTGCTCCAGCTCAGAGGCCCCTCAGTCTCACACTGGCTCCCTTCACAACAGATGCTCACAGCCTCGCCCCGCCCAAGCCTGGGCCAGTGCTGCTCCCTCCCAGCGCCCTGACTCTGACATTCCCATTTGTGTTGTCTTGCAGCCGTTGAGTCCGGGGGTGGGCTTGAAGCACACAGGCAGTGGTGCCTAGAAAGCAGCTCCCAACACCCCTACCTCCCAGGACACCCAAAGAACAGTAGCCGCCATGCATCTTCCTGAAAGCCTGCAGGACCTGGCGGACAATGAGACTGTGCGCTTTCTGAGGAGGCCAAAGAGCATCTTGAGGATCTGTGGAGGGGTGAGATGCTTGGGGTCAAACACAGGAGAGATCAGTTCTCAGATCCGGGAACAGAGGGAGGGGTCACATGTGGTCAGATAGGGAGCCCAAAACGGAAGCCACCCATTACTGAGTATCTGTAGTCATCCACTAGCCATTTTCAATACCAGTTAACTCATCACAAGAAAGAACCCCACATATTTGGACATGATTTGTAATACCAGCACATGAAAGACTGGGGGAAGAGAATTGTTATGGATTTGAGGCCAGCCTTGGTTACAGTGTAAGAAAAAGAAAATCTTACCTGAGCAGTGGTGGCGCACACCTTCAATCCCAGCACTCGTGAGGCAGAGGCAGGCGGGTCTCTGTGAGGTCGAGGCCAACCTGGTCTACAGAGTGAGTTCCAGGACAGCCAGGGCTATACAGAGAAACCCTGTCTCGAAAAAAAAGAAAAGAAACGAAAGGAAAAGAAAAAAGTGAAAAAGTACCCTTTAGAGGGGAAGAAAAATGCCCCCTCCAAAAAAAGACCATAATTTTGATAAATGAAATCAAGAGTGTCTGAAGGCTGCTTGTAGCCACAAGCTACATGAGAAACTCCAATTCCAACTAATTTAATTCCAGGGGACATTCTACATTCAATGTGGCCGTATTTCAGGTACTTAGCTGCTGCAGGTACCTTGTGGCTCTCCAATTGAACAGCATAGATTCAGAACATTTTCACCATGCCAGAAAGTTCCATTAACTGCATCCATTAGTACACACAGAAACAGGCAGTACCACTGCGCTCTATAAGATGCCAGACCCATGTATTTTCCATCTCTCAGGAGGGGATAGGAAAAACAGGGACTGCAGTCTATTACTTAAAAAAGGAAAAGGCATACAGATGGGAAGACAGTATGCAACAGACCCCGGCGCCAGATGTGAGTGGGCACCACGTCAGGCACGGTGCTGACGCTTCCCCTTCAGTCATTACCGTATTCCCAAAGAATCTGGACACTGGGGGCAAAGGCCTCCTTCAGCTGTGTAACCTTGACACGAACCAGTCACTGCCCCGCTCTGAACATCAGCACAAAAGTCATCTGTCTGTGCCTGTGGGTGCTTCCTTCTCTTTTTAAAGGAGGTTTTAAATTATGTGAGAGTGTCTTCATGAGTTTGCGCACACCACATGCACACAGGCACTGGTGAGGCTAGAGGGTGTCAGATCACCCGGAACTGCAGTTAGAGCTGATTGTGAGCCACTTGTAACTTATGGGACCGGAGCCCGGGATCCTCTGCAAGTGCAGCATTTTAGTTACTCTTCTGTTGCGTGAAGAGTCACCCTATAACCAAGGCAACTCATAAAAGAAAGAATTTAGCCGGGTGTTGGTGGCACACACCTTTAATCCCAGCACTCGGGAGGCAGAGGCAGGTGGATCTCTGTGAGTTCGAGGCCAGCCTGGTCTACAAGAGCAAGTTCCAGGACAGCCTCCAAAACAATACAGAGAAACCCTGTCTCAAAAAAACGGAAAAAAAAGCATTTAATTGAGGGCTTGCTTATAGTTTCAGAGTGTGAGTCCATGACCATCGTGGCAGGGAACAAGGCAGCAAGCAGGCAGGCATGCATGCATGGTTCTGGAACAGTGGCTGACAGCTTGTTTCTTATCTGCAAATTAAAGGCAGAAAGAGAACAAACTGGAATGGCCTGGGCTTTTGACCCCTCAAAATCTACCTCTAGTGACACGCCTCCTCCAGCATCACACCTGCTAATCCTTCTCTAACAGTTGCACCATCTGAGGACCAAGCATTCAAATATACGAGCCTGGCTAAGGCATGGTGCACACATCTTTAATCCCAGCACTCAGGAGGCAAAGGCAAGAGGAGCTCTGTGAGTTCATATAGCAAGATCCAAGACAGCCAAAACCACATAGAGAGACCCTGTCACAAAACAAAAAAAATCATACAAGCAGGTGGAGCCATTCCCACTCAAATCATTACAGGCAGTATACTCTCTTAACCACTGAACTGTCTCTCAAATTTGTGCCCCACACACCCTGTTTTATGTTTGAGGTGTCTTTGTTTTTCTTGTTGTTTGAGACGGGGGTCTTTGTAGCCTGGCCCAGGCTGGCTTTGAACTCACAATGGACCTCCTGTTCTAGCCTCCCTGAGTGCTGGGATTATAGGTGTGAGCCACCACACTCAGCAGCCTGTACCCTGCATAGAACTGGCAACTGAGGCCCAGCGATGAGATCTGATTAGGGTTGTGAGCAGGAACCAGCCCTCTGGCCTGGTTCCTCAGAGAGAGAGTCTTTGGGAAGCTGGCATTCATGTCCTCCATGGACTAGACTCTGAAATCTCCCCAGGTTCCCAATCCAGGGTATCTTCTCTCTGTCCTCTGGAACAGTCCAAACAGTCCAAACAGTCCAAACAGTCCTGGCTTTGGGTCCTAGCCTATGTGTCCATCACTACCCTGTTGGCTGGGCTGCCCCAGGCATAACCACTACCAGCAGCAACAGCACCTTTCATTCCCAGAAATGCCCCCTTTGGATCAGTAGCATGCATGGTCAGACTATCTGTGGCCTGGATCATCTTCTCAGAACCCATGTCCATCTGTAACAAAAGGGTTCTAGTGCCCTGCTCCTGGGCAGGATTGCTGTGAGGATAACAAGGCAATGCATATACAGGCATATACAGGCTGACTAGCAGGGGCTGGCAAAGGCTGGGCTCTCCTTAAATAGAAGGATTGTCACTGGAATAACTCATCCATGAGGGAGGAGCGGCTGGAGGAACTGGGGATGACAGGAACTGGTGCACGCTGTCCTTCTTCCTGGTGAGGAGACAGGGATTGTGACTACTCCCTGGTGCCTTCACACCACAACCGATGACAAGGACACACTAATGTTTATAATCCAAGGGGAAACTGAGACTCCCAGACAGAGGTTGAGTGATTTGTCAAGGTCATTACCCATCAGATGAAGGAGTCAGACTCAGATCCACTCAGTGTCTCCAATACCTGGAAAGGGGAAGCAGACCTAAGGGAGCTGGGAGCCCAGCTGGTCTGGCCAAGGACAAGCGAGGGGAAAGGCAGCCAGCCATGCCAGACCTTGTGGTCACAGACTTTGCCTATGCTACTATCCTCCCTCCCCTTCTCTCCCTCTTCCCCTGGCCTCGTTCCTCAGTGGGAGTCTGGGCAGCTGGTATTCATGCCCTCCATGTTTCTTGCCAGCTGGTGTCTGACCTCATGAATCTTTGCTCCCTTCCTGTAGACAAGCCAGGGAGGCTGCAGAAAGAGATTGGACACGGGCTTCAAGGAAATAGGATCCCCAGCTAGTTGATGTCCCTCTCCACATTTCCAATGCCCTAGCTCCACCATGGACAAACAGCCCTGGAGCCCGGAAGTCAGGAGGGCTGGACTCAAGCCCCACTCTAAGGCAGCTAACTCTAAGGGTCTGCTGGCTCTCCCTAGGTGAGTCCTGAGAACCATCACTGTCCTGAACAACACAAACACACTGGGAAACTGAGGTCCCAAGGACCGAATTACTTGCTCAAACCCACACAATTTTGCAGAGTTAGAGACATGTGGCTCTTTCTACTCGGTTGTAATTGGTAGATTTATGACCTTGGAAAACAGAAGTGGTAGATAATGTGTACCTCCCTTTGTGGGGTGGTACACCATCCCAGGAGGTGACACAGGTAGAAAGGATATGAGCTCAAAACTAACTGACTCTTTCCTGTTCTTCCCCTGCTTCACCCTGGTGGAGCCGTGTAAGGAACTTCCTCAGGACCGAATCCTTAGTTCCCAGACCAGTGGTTCTCAACCTCCCTAGTACTGTAACCCTTTTTTTTTTTTTTTTTTTTTTTTTTACGAGACAGGGTTTCTCTATATTGTTTTGGAGGCTGTCGGTCCAGCCCGGCCTCGAACTCACAGAGATCCGCCTGCCTCTGCCTCCCGAGTGCTGGGATTAAAGGCGTGCGCCACCACCGCCCGGCTGTGCTGTAACCCTTTATGTGGTTCCTCATGTTGTGGTGACCCCAATCATGAAATCATTTCATTGCTACTTCATAACTGTAATTTTGCTACTGCTATGAATCATAATGTAAATATCTGATATGCAGGAAAAGTTGAGAACCATTGTCCTAAACCATCTTACAGCCTTCCTTCATGAACTTGACTATAAAGTGCTTAGCAAGAAGAGAGACTAGGCCGGGCGTTGGTGGTGCACGCCTTTAATCCCAGCACTTGGGAGGCAGAGGCAGGCGGATCTCTGTGAGTTCGAGACCATCCTGGACTACCAAGTGAGTTCCAGGACAGCCTCCAAAGCCACAGAGAAACCCTGTCTCAAAAAACCAAAAAAAAAAAAAAAAAAAAAAAAGAAGAGAGACTAGTTATTTTGGTTATAAAGCAATAACCAAAGGAGAGAGAAGGAAGACAGGACAAAGGCAGGTAGTTTAGGGTCAGTCTTTTACCTCATCCTCGCACACCACAGGACATCAAAGGAGTTGCTCTCACACATTACTGAGGCCCTACCTGCACTAGTGCAAACATACACATACCCCTGCAGAGCGTGTCCCTGGGAGTTCAAATCTTACCAAAGGGTTCGTCTTTCCTTCTGCACAACTTCCCATTGCTTGCAGTTAGATCCCATTAATCACAGATCCAGTTTTACATCCAAAATGGCTCTGAATTCCTCAGGGCTCTGTTCTCTCTACCAACATGCTCTGTGAACTTCTCTCTCACCCTTACCCTTTATCCAGTCACTGGCCACATGACCCCAGAGAACTCCTCTATTCCTGGGTCAGGTCCTGGCCATCTTAGAACCCTTGTATGCTTGAAGAAATTCTAATGAGAGGCTAGAGAGATGGCTCTTGTCCTTCCAGAAGACCCAAGCTCAACTCTGAGCACCAAACATTGGCTAATAACCATCCTTAACTCTGGTTCAAGGGTCTAATGCCCTGTCCTGATCCGAATGCACCAGAGACACCATGCATACATGCAGGCAAAACACTCACACAAGCAAAATAATTCTTTCAGAATAAAGCTCAGATGACAGTTTTAGCTTTCACACCTCCTCAGGTCTGACCTCGAGGTCGTTTAGCTCTTGCCTGCATAGATATCCTTCATATCTGATATTTACATTACAATTCATAACAGTAGCAAAATTACAGTTAGGAAGTAGCAACAAAAATAATTTTATGGTTTGGGGTCACCACAGCATGAGGAGTTCGTATTAAAGGGTCCCAGCATTTAGGAAGGTTGAGAACCACTGGATTATAGGCATGTACCACCATGTCCAGCAAAATTCCTTTAAGGTTCAGATCTATTACTTCCTAAATTCAGCCTGAGAACTTTGGTTTCCACCCAAACTTTAGCTCTTGTCCACTCTACTCTGCCCTGACCCCCAGCACGCAGACTTAGCCCTCTGTCAACGTTGACACCACCCGGAGGCTTTTTCCATACTGACGGTCGATCATGCCCTGCCCTGCTCACAGCCCTCCAGGCAATGGTCCCACTCTTCAACCCTGCTCACCCTCTAACATCCCATGTAGAAAGCCCCCTGAACCAACTTCACTCTCTACCCGGTAGACACACAAGGGTTCCTTGTATGCTTGACCTAGGGCTTGCCACACTGCAGTGCGACAGGGGCTTCAGTCTTTCACAGATTTGTGCTAATAGAAGCCTCTGCTCTCAAGGCTGGATCCATCACGAGACAGACTACAAAAGATGAAGAACTATATGGCTGGAGTCCAAGTCAAGGCTCTGCTGCTTACTAGCTGAAAAATTCATCCAGGTCCTTGTCCTCTGTGCCTCAGATTTATTATCAGAAAAGTGCCCCTGTCATAGTGTGGCTATGGAATGACATCACAGAATGCAGGTGTACAGGCATGGGGACAGCAAAAGGCAGTGCTGTATTGCTTAAGAATTCTAAAGCAGCCGGGCGGTGGTGACGCACACCTTTAATCCCAGCACTCCGAAGGCAGAGGCAGGCGGATCTCCATGAGTTCAAGATCAGCCTTGGTCTACAAGAGCTAGTTCTGTAGAGAAACCCTGTCTCAAAAAACAACAACAAAAATAAAAAGGAATTGGAAGCTGAAAAATGGCTCAGTTGGGGGCTGGAGAGGTGGCTCAGAGGTTAAGAGCACTGGCTGCTCTTCCAGAGGTCCTGAGTTCACAACCATCTATAATGAGATCTGGTGCCCTTTTTTGTCCTGCAAGCATATATGCAGACAGAGCACTGTACACTAACAAATAAATAAACCATTTTTTAATTGCTCAGTTGTTTGAGTACTAGCTGCTTCTTCCAAAGATCCCAGGTTCAAATCTCAACACACAGAGTGATTTACAAACCATCTGTAACTCCAGTTCCCCCATGGACACTGCATGCATGTAGTTCATAGACATACATCCAGACAAAATACCCATACATGTTAAATGAATAAATTCAAAAAGCAAAAAAATGAGCTGGTCAGTGGTAGCACACACCTTTAATCCCAGCACTCATGAGGCAGAGACACGTGGATCTCTTGAGTTCGAGACCAGCCTGGTCTGAGAGAGTTCTAGGACAACCAGGACTATGCAGAGAAACCCTGTCTCAAACACCTGTAGCAATAACACAGAGCTCAGTGGTAGAGTGCTTGGCTTGCATGAAAAGGCCTGGTGTCAGCCCTCAGCACCGGGTGAAGGAAGAAGAGGGAGACACAGGACAGCGAGGAGAGGGGACACCTTATTAGGACTTGTGCCCTGAACAAGGGTGGTGGCAGGAGAGTATGAAGCAGAACAAGGATGCACGCACAAAGATTAAGTTAGCTAAGGCAGGAGTGCATCGACTAAGACCGTCCTGTGGTCCTGGGGAGCCTTCAGGGACTGCAGGCAGGAGGGCAGAGGGGAGACTAGGAAGAGGGTAGGGGAAGGTGAGACCCGAGGGGCAGAGACGGGGCTCTGAAGCTGTATCAGGAAGGGCAGCTGCAGAATGCCGGGTACCCAGGGTGCCCACCCAAGGGGAGGGGCGTCTTGGAGGAGGCGCTGAGTTCTACCCTGTCCATTGTGGTTCACAGGTCTTTTCCCTGGTCATCTTTTCCTCTCTACTAACTGATGGTTACCAGAACAGGACAGAGTCTCCTCAGCTCCATTGCGTCCTCAACAGCAATCAGGTGGCCTGTAGCTTCGCAGTTGGAGCTGGCTTCCTGTCCTTCCTCAGCTGCTTGGTCTTCCTTGCCCTAGACGCCCGTGAGAGCCGTATCTCAGGCACCCGCTTGAAGACAGCCTTCCAGCTCTTGGACTTCATCCTGGCTGGTGAGTCCCAAAGGACCCTGCACAGCTCTCCTCCTAGTCAGCTCTCCCAGGCTCCCCAGTGCCTACAGGTCACAGTCCTGGCCTAGCCCAGACCAGTGCCCAACGGTCCTCCCACTGCCAGGGTCTGACTTTGACTCCTCCCAGAAGCATCGTCTAGTCCCTCCTTCCCATCCCACGGCCTCCAGCCCAAGCTGCTTCCTCCATATTCCACCCCACTCCCACCCTGCCCCACCCCACCCCCACAGCCTGAAAAACCCACCCTGTGGCAGAGCGCTGAGCCAGAGGAAGCTAGGCTGAAGACAGCCTTGCAGGGGTTTCTGGGTGTGAAATGAGTTAAGGGGTGCCTATAGTCATGCGGACACCTGCAGAGCACTTCCCAGTGTTAGGCATCCGTCAAGGTTTGGGCTTCCTCTCCTCCAGTTCTAACAACCCTGGGGGAAGTCCTGCTCATCTTATCTTACAAGAAAGACGGAGGCTGAGGTAGTCATGAGAGCGAGCCACTGCTGCCCAGTGAATGGCAAGCCCTGTGCTTCCAAGCGCAGCACGGCCTCCATGACCATGCCATGGTATCTGTGGAGCTCATACACAGATAGCACCCAGCCACTCTTTACACCAGGCCCTCCCTTCCCCTCCCCAGGAGCCAGTCCCAGCACCTCGGGGCCAGAGCACCTCGCAGTGAGAAGGGGCTGTCCTCTGTATGAAGGACCTTTCACTCACAGCCCCCGAGCACAGAAGATGCCGCTGGCCCGCAGGGACCTGGGTCCCTATGAGACTCTGATGAGGTTACACCATGTAGCTCCAGCTGTTAGACGAGGGAGCTCCACTCTAGAAGCTGACTTTTGGGGACACTTGAGGGATTTGGATTGGCATGGGTGACAGGACTCCCTGCTCCTGCCTAGGGCTCGGAGCCTGTGCCTCAGCATGCTTCACCTGTCTTTTTCCCTGCTTCGCCCCCAGTCCTCTGGGCAGGTGTCTGGTTTGTGGCCTTCTGCTTCCTAGCCCGCCAGTGGCAGCATTCGAAGTTCAAGCATTTCCTCTTGGGGAACAGCAGCGCCAAGGCAGCCATTGCCTTTGCTTTCTTCTCCGTCCCTGTCTGGGTGAGGACAAGTCCTGGCACCCCTCCAGGGTGGGTTGTGAGGGCTGTACATCTGGTGACGAGGACCAGGAGTCTCTCTGGGCCTCTGCTGTCACCCTCTGAGCCTACCTTCCTCAGGCATCCCCATCCTGGGCACCGTTGGGCAGTGAGCAGACAGATGTCTGCTGCATCCCCCAGGCCAGCCCCTGTCTTCCTGTTCCATCACAGACTTAAACCCTGCCCTTTCCTGCCCGCAGATATTCCAGGCTTACCTGGCCTTCCAGGACCTCCGAGATGAGGTTCCAGTCCCCTACAAGCGCTCCCTGGATGAAGGTGGTGTGGTCCTGAATACCCTCTCCCCATCATCCACCACCAGCTCCGCCAACCCTCCTACCACAAGCCCCAACAGTGTGAGTTACACCAGCTCAGCCCTGTCCCCCTATCTAAGTGCTTCAAAGGCCCCCCGCCTGGCCATGATGCCAGACAGCTAAACAGCCTTACCTACATGAGTAAAGAGCTCTTCTCCCTCTGAGGAGTTTCTGAATAACTGTCCTGTCTGTTCCTCTATCATTCCTTGAGGGGCAGGGGGAGGAGACCCACTAAAAAAGGTTACAATTCTATCTACCCCCAAGTGCCAGTCGCCCTGCTGACATCGGGTTGGAAGTGTTGGCAGGCAGGAAAGTGCATCACCTGTACCCTAGCCCCCACTGGCCTTGAAGAGTGGGCACAAGGCCTCATACTACACAGCTGAGGCTGAGATCGAGAGAGAAAAGATTTCCCCTCAGAGCGCCAGGGAATAACAGCACTGACCCAGCAGCCCAAGCTCTTTACCCCATAATTTACTCAACAGAGCGGTCTGTGTATGGAGTCAGTGGGGACACTGAGTCCACGCTGAGATTTAGACCTGTGTCTTCAAATGCATTAACTATGGCCTGGGAAAAAAGGCAAGTGTCTCTACTCTACACCCCCAGGGGCACCAGACTACAGACCTACTAGGAGGGATCAGGTGGCACCTTGTGCCAGAGTGACAGCCTTTACCCACTACCCAGCCATGGGGCTAAGGATGCAGAAACTTGCTCAAAGCTACACTGAGAAAAAGAAAGTCAATTTTAATATATTTCATTTAACTTAATATACCCAAAGTGAGGCTGGGCATTGGTGGCGCACGCCTTTAATCCCAGCACTTGGGAGGCAGAGGCAGGTGGATCTCTGTGAGTTCGAGGCCAGCCTGGTCTACAAGAGCTAGTTCCAGGACAGCCTCCAAAGCCACAGAGAAACCCTGTCTTGAAAAACCAAAAAAAAAAAAAAAATATATATATATATATATATATATATATTCAAAGTGTTACTGTTTCAATGTTCAGTCAATATGAAAATTCAGCTTTTTTTTTCTTTGTAAAACATGCTTTCACTGTGTAGCTGAGACTGGCCTGGAACTTACTATCTCCCAGCCTCAGTACTGGGTTTACAGGCAGGGTGCCACCATCCCCGAACTGAAAGTCACCATTGCAGCATCTGTCCCTATTCTCACTATGAACATCCACTGTGCGCCTTTCCTGACAGGATGGCTCACTTTGGATCTGCCATGCTATGCGCACGGTGGACAAGTGTCACTGATGGGCACCCCTCTGGCACTACCTACCACTCGTGACCCTTCTGGTGACGTCTAGAACAACTAAACATCTCTTTTGTTGTTGCTATTTTGGTTTTTGGTTTGTTTTTGGATGTGAAATTAGTGGATAACAGACTTTTTTTTAAGTAGGGAGCTACAACTGAGTTACAGCCCTAGCTGTATCCATGTGGTATCAGGGCACAGAGAGTCTTCCCAAAAAAGTCAGTCCCAGGCCCTGAAGCATATCCAAAGAAATGGAATTGGGCACAACTAAGAATTGGGACGTTCTCAAAGGACAAACAGGAAGTTTGACTGAACCAAGGATCAACACCCAGATGCTGGCTGGGGCGGAGTTCAGTGAAGAACCACTTGCCTGGATGCACACAGGCCCTGGGTTTGAGCCCCAGGACTGCAACAGACAAACAAGAACGGGGCCTGCCACAGGCAGAGATGCAAGCTGGAAACGTCAAGTGTGGGGTGCCCACCTCAAAAGAGGCAGGGAAGGATTCATTTGCTTTTTTTCTTTTTCTTTTCTTTTCTTTCTTTTTTGAGACAGGGTTTCTCTGTGTAATAGCCCTGACTGTCCTGGAACTCGCTCTGTAGACCAGGCTGGCCTTGAACTCACAGAGATCCGCCTGCCTCAGCCTCCCCAGTGCTGGGAGTAAAGGGTGAGGGCTGTCCCATCATTCATGCTGTAGGACATACATGCTCTTCACAGTCCTCTGTGTCAGTTGGGTCTGGACAGTCATCAGGCTGTTTCTATATCCAACAAAAAATGAGATTCTCCCCAACTCTTCCCTGAAGACCCTCAAGGAATCCAGGTGCACTGGAGAGTTCTGGGGAACCCATTCCTCATCTTCCTGCTCTTTCAAGATCTCTGATCACCCCCAGAAGGTTCATGATGCAAAAACAGAACAAGTCAGGATTCAGTACAAACCAAAGAGGGCAGGGGACAGCAGAGAGGACAGTTTTCCTCAGTTTATTTCAAGAGAACAAAGAATCAGCCATCAAATTCTGTACAAAAACATGGTGTTAAGAGTGTGGTGACCCGCAGGCCAGCTAGCCCCCTTCCCTCGCCTAAGCCCAAAGCTTCCCCTAATTTGACAAAAAAAAAAAAAAAGGACAACCCTCCCACCCCTCCCCCCACAAAAAGCTAACAGATTCTGGAAAAATTATGAAAAATTAGGAGACCCTCCTTAACTTTCTTCCTTCTTACCACCAATCCAGGAGCTTGTGGGGAGGATCGTGGTCACAGCCAAGGTGGGCAGGCAGGCATTGGCAGATGTAGTGTTTGGCAACCAGGGGGCGGGGTGAGATCTTGGAGGGAGACAAGTGGATCTCAGCTGACCCTGGTCCAGAGAACACTCAAAACACAGTTTATAAAAAGTCAGGGCCAGGCAGAAGAGAAAAAAGTCATCAGAATCAAAAACTAAATAGTGGAAAGATTTGTTTTTTGTTTTTCTTCTCTAAAAGGCAAAAGGCTACAAACAGCTCAGGTTCTGAGCTGCCCAGGATAGGGATCTTCCACTGACCCCCTAACCCCGCTGGAGGGGTGGGGAGCCAGGAGAGGTGAGCTCTTTAAAAAGTCAACTCTGGGTGGGAAGGCTCCTGGTCTTCGGCAGCCTTCCTCTTCCTCCTGCCCTGCCTCAGAGAAGGCTGGTGAGGCCAGGGCTACGCGGGTAAGCTCAGCTTCTTCCCCTTCAGGACTGTGGAGAGAGAGAAACGGGCCTTACCTTCCACCCCGCAGAGCAGTAGCCTCCCACCCTGAGCAAGACCTGCAGATGAGCTGTGCAAGGAGAGGGAGCCCCCAGGACTCTGCACCCTGAACTACGAGATTGAGTCTAGGTCAACCAGGGGTAGAGCAGGAATCAAGCTAGTCACAGTGCTGAGCAGAGGCCGAGACGGGCTTTGCTTTCAGTAGTGCTGACTACAGCCATGGACCACTACTATCTTGTCTTGATTGCCCCAGACTTTGTGTTTCTGTGATGCTTAGGCTAGCCTCAAATTCAACACAATCCTGCCTTAGCCTCCACAGTGCCGGGATTACAGGCCTGGTCTCATTGCCTCTTTCCTTCACGTATTGATTCCTGGCCTTCAGGTTTCTGCTTGAACATCACCTCAAGGTGCCCATGGACCCTGAGTGAGGCAGGCCCCACCCTTCTAACTCATCGCCCAAGGACACGTCTCTGCCTTCATCCATTCAGTGCTGCTCTCCTCACGAGATTCTGTTTTCATGTCCCATCTTCCTCAGTCGGGTCAAGGGAGGAGAGGGCCTCAACTACCTTTTCCTCGATGGCTGAGCCCTAGACGTAGCAGACACTCAATGAGTTTGTGCAGCGAGAATTCATGAATCTCCCTGCTTTGCCTGATCTCCACTTGTAAAAATTATAGCCTGAGGGTCAAAGAGTCCTTGGGGAAGCAGGGACTGGAATCTAAATAGGGGATGGTAGGCCTGGAGTCCCCGAAGCCAGGAAAGGAGCCCCATCCCTCAAGTGGCAGAAGACAGACCCTGGGCCCAGCAAAGAGAGGACTGGGGAGAGAGCAGGCCTTTGAGCCAGCCTGTGTTCTGCTCACCTTTGGTGATATAGAGGTAGAAGAAATCGCAGTAGAGCACTGTCTGGACCAGGCCAGCAACGATGGCGATGAGGTCGAAGAAGCCCTCAAAGTGGTAGCGCCAGACCCAGTTGAAGAGATAGAGTGTGCGGTAGACGCCCAGGGCAAACAGGTAGTGGCTGGTGATGGTCTCTGCCTCTCCTGTCTTGCTCACCATGAACAGCTGTGGCAAGATGGCCACTGACTCCAGGTAGATGGAGAAGGTCCAGAGGATCTGCAGGGCGGAGGCCGGGGGAAGGGTCAGGGTGAGGCAGCCGGGGCAGCCCCAGCACACCGACCACCCTAGCACTCACGGTGTGTCCACGTCACCAGGCCACCACAGACGAAACTAAAGCCTGAAGGTAAGACCCCTGCCCATGACCACAGAGCTCACGACAGCAGAACTGGGGGCTTGACTGGAGCTCGAGCTCATGAACGCTTTTCATCTACCTCTCCCCCCACAGCAAAAGGCACCCAGCTCCCCCTCCCCCACCCCATCTCTACAATGGAAATCTGATCCTGCTCTCATGAGGACACCATTAAATATATGACCCTCAAAAACCTAAGTCAGACTACATTACTCGCTAGCTCAGAGTAAAATCTAGACTCCGACCTTGAACCTCAAGGTCCTCCCTCCCGTCCCTCTGGGTCTGGGCAGCACAGACCAAGCTTCCCGTGTCTCGGGCGTTTGTACTCGCTCTCCTCCAGCACAGCTGCCTGCTGTGGTCCTCCAGCCTCAGCAGCCAGTCACTTCCCAGAAAAAGGTCCACTTTGGCCACTCCTCCAAGGCTCACTGCAGTTTGCCTTTTGGGATTACTGTTTTTATTTGTTTTAGGTAAAATCTAAAAACACTATGGGGCTGGAAGAATGGCTTAGCACGGAAGAGCACTGGCTGCATATCTAGAGGGCCTGGGTTTCATCGCCAGCACCCACCTGACAGCTCACGACTCTTAACTGCAGTCTCGGGATCTACCTACCCTTTCTAGTCTCTTGGCACCAGGCACATATTTGGTGCACACAAACATGCAGACAAAACACTCACATAAAAATTTTTAAGAAAAAGTTTAATTTATGTGCCTGGATGCTTAGCCTGCATAACGATTTGTGCACTACATGGAACCCACAGAGACCAGAAGAGAAAGTATCAACCTGTCCAGACCTGGGGCTAGCAGGGGACTACAAGCCACCATGTGGGTGCTGGGAACCAAATCCTATGCTGCAAGATCAGCACATTCAAATAACGCTGTCAGCCCTATTCATTTTGTGTGTCTGTGTCTGTGTGTGTGTGTGAGTGAGTGTATGGGTGTGTGTGTGTCTGTGTGTGTGAGTGTCTATGTCTGTGT